AAAGATATTGATGGTGAATGAGGGCACAAAGGTAATTTCATCATGAAGCCATTATAATAATAAAAAAAAATCCTTCTCTTGGAAAGATTTGAACTTGGGTCCTAAGTAACTTCATCCATAATCATTTCCATTAAGCCACCAATTCATTCTTGGTAAGCTATCCCTGAACTTTATAAAAATACAATCAAAATACTTTATCATTAATTTTAATCTTTTTTGTTGTTGTTAATTTTAATCTTATTTAAATTCTTGGGTTGCTACATATTAATTTAAATATAACTCAATTTTTTTTCTGGGTCATTACAAGCACTTACTGATATTTACTTTTTTCTTTTATTTTAAACTAGTGTATTTTATTCATTTTATCAAGATTCATTAGTATTAGAAAAGTCTCAAGAGATTTGAGAAGAATTATGGCATTTCACGAGTGATAGTAGTATCGCTTGCCTTTAAAATTAAACTAAAGCTAACCCTAATGTAATATAGGGCTAACCCTAGGTCATTTCTTAAGGAATGATTTTAAGCCTAATTTAAAGTTATCTAGTGAAATAAATACCCAAAATTTGAAGTTGATTAACTAATTGCTAGCCTAATTATCTAGTGAATTAAACTAGAAAACTAATCCTAATTATAAATGAAGTCGCTTCCCAATTTAAGTAGGAACTCTAGGGTATTGCTGATGGAAGACTCCTAGCCCTTTAATTAATTATGACAGCTCTCTTAACTCTCTTTCCTTGGCTGAAAAATATATTTATTTAAGACAACTATCTCAAGTATTCTAGCTTTACTAATTCAATTTCCTAAATGCTATTACAAGTCCCCTAGGTAACCTTACTAGCTTAGCTCTAAAATTAACTAAGTGTTTAGTTAAAATTTATTCCTATATGTCACTGTCCAAAGCTGTACCTAAGCTCAAAACTATGAAAATTCAAGTAACTCATCAAGTATTCACCACACAATTACATACTAGGTTAATACAAGATATTTTCCAAGTGAAATCACATATTACCATGTAAAAACACTAAGAGGATGAAATTTCAGCAGCATTAAGAACTTGAAATTCAAGTAAACAATCTTGTTTCAATATTACAAATTACAAACAACTATGAAACTAAAGTCAAATTGAACCACAATCAACAATAGTCATAGTATTCTAGTGAAATTAAAACAAGATGAAGAAATAGTTAAGCTTAACCAGGTGAAGATTTCAAGACTCCTCTTCCATCAACTCTCCCCTAGGATTCTATGAAGAATCTAGCTAGAAAACATCAAGAAAATCTTGCTTCCTTTATGAACACCATGTGGCAGAGAGGTATGCTCCATAGTCTTGATGATTTGAGCTTCAATTCTTCCTCTAGATGCTTGGGGTGAGTTTGGCCATGATAAGGGAAGAGAATGGTGGAAGATTTGTGCCACATCCCAATACTAAAGGTATGATCATCATGAAACATGATGTGAACTCACATTCC